AAGGCACACATCAACATACTTTGTATGTGTGTTTATGTATACACATATACATATACACATATACACATACATCTCTCTCTCTCTCTCTCTCTCTCTCTCTCTATATATATATATATATATATATATATATATATATATGTGTGTGTGTGTGTGTGTGTGTGTGTGTGTGTGTGTATTGTAAAGGGATTACATAACATATTTTCCATGTTGTATAAATGAATTTGTATAATGTGGGTTATAGTAAGATGACCTTATTAACCCTATTATAAAATATTCGTAAAATATTGTTAAATACTTATACAGATTGATTATGTATAATTAGTTTATTTTTTGTTTTTGCATAAAAGTTAGTTCCTCGTACCCCCTTTGTTGTAATGCGCATGCGCGTAGGTGTGCCTCACCTGTTTTTTCTTTGTAATTCTAGCGGTCACTTTGCCATACCACTTGTTCGAGTGAACACTGTGACCCTCGCCTCGTGAGTAGGATAGCCTTTTCTGAAAACGCTAATTCGCATAGCGTGGCATAGCGAAGGTGCGTTTGATTCATTATGTTTATATATATATTTTGTTTCAGTCATTTTATGTTATTCATGGCTTAACTGACGCCAGGCGCCACGATACTTTGCCACACGTGCCCCCGAGGTTAATCGGAGCAGCACCAAGCTTGAACATGCCCCGTGACACCTGGGCCGTTTAATACGCTTGCTTGGGACGTGGATACTTACATTGTTTATTTTTGTTTGATTGTTTATTTGTTTATAATTGTAAATATATGGTGATGGTTATATCCTCATTTTATACCCCCTTTTTAATGAAAGTGATAAGATAAATAGTGATGTGATGAATCCAATGACGAAATGACACCATTTTAACAAAAGATCCTTTACATATATATATATATATATATATATATATATATATATATATATATATATATATGTCTGTTTGTGTGTGTGTGTGTGTGTTTATCTATTGATGTATATATGTGTATATATATGTATTTATATATGTGTGTGTGTGTGTGTGAGTATATTCACATACACATTAACGTATATAATCAAATAAAACTACATATATATATATATATATATATATATATATATATATATATATATATGTATATATAGTGATATATAGACAGATAGATAAATAGATAGATATTCATATATACTAATGTATATGCATTTTTAAAGTACACATACAAATATATAGGTAGATAGATATTTAGAAGTACATTCAGTATATGTATATATAGATAGATAAGTATTCAATGAATACTAATTCATAGTAATATCTTTCCTAAATTGTGTAAAAAGGCAAGGAAAAAAGTAACATAACATTTTTGATATTTCGATATATTTTGGACGTAATGCAAATAACATTGCGAGAAATATTGGTATATCTTTTTAAGTGTATCTTTCGTAAATCATTAATAAATTATGGTGTGTTGTACAGGCCTGAAGGTCTGCTTCCTTGGCCTGATTGAAGTCCACTAGTGCCTCCGTTGATACTCAGGCCAATACCAGCTCCATTAACACCACCTAATCCACCTCCATTTACAATCCCAAAGCTACTTCCTGCTAGTCCTTCAATAACACCGCCAGCAACTCCACCAGCGCCACCAAAGCCGGCTTCTCCACCTATAACACTTTCATCACCTCCGAGAACTTGACCGCCTGCTGCTGCTGCGGAGCTGAGAGCCGTTTCCAGGTCTACTCCAATGGGAAGAGTTGGGTTTTCTCCGTCTTGGTAGTTGACGAAGTAAATCTCAGGATCAGCCTGTGGCTGAGCTGGTACTTCGATCACTCGCTGAACTTGTTGGTCCTGTTTGTTGAGCACATAGACAATGTTGTTCTGTCTTGGTGGAGGAAGAACGATTGGCTCGGGTGCTGGTCCTTCTTCTGGAAGACGTACGAAGAGGATGTTGTGTTCTACTGCTGGAGGAGGAATACTGGGTGGTGGGCCGACAGCCTGCTCTTGTTCAGGAACGTTAAACAGGTATACCTTTCTTGTGATTTCGGGGATAACACAAGTGCCGTCCACGTGTAGGACCTCTCCATCTCTGCATCCGGTAATGGCACCCTCACCGCTGCCTAAATCAGCACCACCTGCACCGGTTCCTCCTGCCAAAAGACCTGCTCCATCGGAGAGACCTTCACCCGATGGTGCACCCAAATCGTATCCCTGTGGTGCTGCAAAGGCAGCGGCGGCGACTGTTAACAACAAACCCTGTGGAAAAGGTAAATATATTTCATTTGCTTTGCTTAAGACATTCAATTATGACATTTAAATTAAGGCACAGTAATTCAGCTGGAAAGTCGCCGAACTTACAGTGAACTTCATTGTGAATGACTGAGTGTACTAGATGTTTAGCGCCTTATATATCATCGCCCTTTCTCGTGCGACCTTGAGTGTAACCTGTCTGCAACTGACAGTCATGAAAGAATCATTCTGCATACTTTTATACAAATGATGAAATCCAAAGAATAACAAAAACTACA